AGAGACCCTTGGGATCATCGAGTCCAACCATCTCCCCTACTCTACAAAGTCCTCCCCTACACCATGTCCCTCAGTACCCCATCTAAAAGGCCCTTAAACACATCCAGGGATGGGGACTCCACCACCTCCCTGGGCAGCCTATTCCAGTCTCTGACCACTCTTTCTGTGAAAAATTCCTTCCTAATGTTCAATCTAAACCTCCCCTGTTGGAGCTTGATGATCTTAAAAATCCCATGCATGAAATGAGGCCTCTGTGGAAGCGCACGGGTTCTTCTCATTCTCCATGAGGAAGAATATAGAGTCCTGTTAAGTCAAATATTGTAATTGAAAGAAATAGGGGGGGAAAAAAAGACTTTACAAGGTAGTGAAAATATTCATCTCTTTCTTGGGAAAGGACTTCTTTGCTAGACTTCCCTAGACTGAAGCAAATGAGGTCAGTCTGATGCAAAAGGCAACGTCCTGGTGGTGCAAAGAGTTCCTTTGCAGAGTTTCACTGCCCACTTTAATGGTTGCATTTGCTCACCTCAAATGAATGTCTAACCTCCAAGCGATGATGTGAGAAGTTATTTTTGTTTGCTAGAGGTGACTATGCAAAGAGAGCTGATGACAACTGTTCTTGGCTGCTCGCTTTCCGTGACAGAGCTGCAACCCACAGGCAAAAGGAAGAGATTTCTGATGCTGGAGATGATACCATTTCTTTGTGTATCTGATTTTGCTGTCACGCCAGGGTAAATCTTGCCAGTTAAGCCACAGCATGCAGATACAAGGACACTATTGTTTTGGGCCAGTTTTGGGCCCCTTACCATAAAAAAGACATTGAGGGGCTGGAGCGGGTCCAGAGAAGGGCGACAAAGATGGTGAGGGGTCTGGAGAATAAGTCTTATGAGGAGAGGCTGAAGGAACTGGGGTTGTTCAGCCTGGAGAAGAGGAGGCTGAGGGGAGACCTTCTTGCTCTCTCCAACTCCCTGAAAGGAGGGTGTAGAGAGGGGGGGGTCGGTCTCTTCTCTCAAGTCACAGGCGACAGGACAAGAGGAAATGGCCTCAAGTTGCCCCAGGGGAGGTTCAGGCTGGATATTAGGAAAAATTTTTTCACTGAAAGGGTTCTCAGGCATTGGAATGGGCTGCCCAGGGAGGTGGTTGAGGCACCATCCCTGGAGGGGTTCAAAAGACGGGTTGATGAAGTGCTGGGAGGTCTGGTTTAGTGATGATGCTCCTTGTTTGTTGTGTGGGTGTCTATTTTTGTCAGTCAGGTTGACGGTTGGACAAGATGATCTTTAAGGTCCCTTCCAACCTAGAAGATTCTGTGATTCTGTCAGCCCTAAGAGGTTTTCTGGAAAGGAGGACCACTGTGTAGCAGACAAAAACCTGATTTTGCACCTCTGCTTATAACTTAACTTGCAAAATCACATAGTGTGAAACTCCTGAGCTCTGAGGCTTCGGATGGGAAAAAGGTTTCTTTGCTGGTTTCCCCCAAGGTGATTTATTCTGTAAAAACCATATTGTGTAAGGCTTTCTGCCTTAAAAGCAACTCATGCAAAATTAATTGTGTTGCCTTACGTTTGTGGGAAAATACATTTACTACAGGTTAATTTGAAGAAAAAAAATATTATGCAATGAATGCTGTAACAGAAACAGTTATAAGTTGCCTTAACAGCATTTATAAATCAAATCATTGCACACTGATAACTTTAACCTACATCAGGCTTTTGGAAAAATGTACAAGTAAAACAGTTTTTGAGCAGCTATGTATTTTTCATAAGTTGCAGCTGATGATGAAAAATGTGGATTATTTGTTAAAAAATACCAAAAGGAATTATTTTCTTTCATTTTTAAGACTTGATGAATGTTGCATGTTCTGTTGTTTGCTGTAGCTTTTTGGAAGTAATATGGGAGCCAAAATCCTGAGACATTTTGGGATGCTTTTTCATCGAAAATATTTCAAACACAAATTCACTAATTACATGCCCTCTCCTCGTTATTTTGGGATGCTTTTTCATCGAAAATATTTCGAACACGAATTCACTAATTACATGCCCTCTCCTCTTTACAGACCTCCCACCGGACCAGGTTGCTCCAAGCCCTGTCCAGCCTGGCCTTGAACCCCTCCAAAGCAGGTTGACAGTATTAAATAAAAGAAATAATACTCCTATAAAGAATGTTATGTTCAAAGTACGCATGTGCAAAATGAACTGCCAAGTGCTGCTGACTCTTGTGAATTCAATTCAAGTTTTGCAAGATTAGGTATTTTTCTTCAAGACCCAGTTCCTGGAGGGGATGACTATGAGACAAAATGTCTGGGCTTTTCCTCTTCTACTGATTTATTTCAATATTATTTTTTTTATGCCTTTCCTGGCTGTGGAAAAGCCTGCAGTATGATGTGAATGTATCTCCCAGGATTAAAAACCAGGCAAATATGTATTTATTCTGTTCATTTAAACCAATCCTAAAGACGACCAAGACCTTATAGCAACCACTCAATTCACTTAGTGTAAGTGACTGATCCTTCCCCAAAGTATAAGATGGGTTAGAAAGCCAAAGAAAATAATGTTATTTTCATTTTACAGAGGGAGAATTCATTCACAGTTATTTATGCCTATTGATGTCAATTGATTGCTCAAGATCACACGGCCACACACACCTCTTCTAAATCCCTGACACCACGTTGAGCACAAGACACCTTTTCTTCCTAAATACTGAAACCCATTAGATATATCACTGTTTTTCAGACTTTTCAGACCTCCCACCAGTCTGAATAGTATCTGTACACAAATGCAAGATTCTCATAGAAACTGACCCTCTGGAAGCAGTGACTGGTATTTAACCACACAATATTAATCACTCTGCCTGAGTTTGTATAAGGTGGAGAAAGAAAGGGGTCTTCTCTCTGCCATTGTAATGTTGTTTGTCCCTTTAGATTTATTAATCTGAGAATATTACAAATGTATTTGCTCAATCACAATAGTCTGAAATACTAACAACGTGCAATACGAGTGTAAATGCATACATTTTAAAACCTATGGTTCCTAGTCTCTCCTTACTGTAAATCCTGACAAGCAATAGTTACATGCAACCCCAAGAAATGAAGCGAATCATAATTACCTTACAAACAGAAAACAGGCATTAGAAGTGTCATGTTGGGTCTTCGTATCAATGTTATATTTAATTAAGCAGAAGATTATGCAAAACCCAGTAAAAGGGTCTCGTGTTTGCTCTAATAACCAACTGAAAGGACACTCAACAATACTAACAAGTGTTTGTGGCAGCAAGGAACTCAACTTTGTACTTTCAGGGTTGCCTTAGGAAGGGATTATCACTGCAAATTAAGGGATTTAGACAGCCAGGTGAATGTACATTCCAAATCCAAATTCTTTAGGCAGCCTCAGAAAGCTCAGCCTTGCACCAATGCCTTGGTACTGTGCCAAAAAACAATAAATAAAAATCAATTTAAAAAGGTCCATGCTGCTGGCCATGGCCATGTAAATAAAACATAGAATCCCGAGCAGATGCTTTCAGTTTACAGCTGTTATTGCTCCTCTCTGTGTATTTTACCTCTATAGAGGGGGTACTTCAGAATCACAACTCCTAACTCTCTTTCCACCACTACAGGGGCAAAGCCCATGGTTTAGAGAAGGTGTAGAAAATGCTCAGACTCATCAAAATTCAGAATAAAGATTGAAACGCGGGACTGCTCTTGTCCTAGCAGACTACAGGTCTTCCCTGGAAGGATTCCTGAAATGTGGCTCTACACCCAATTCTGGTTTTGTTAACATATTTCTTTTAATGACACTATAGAAAAGCTTAAAATAAGAAACACACGGTCTTTTTTTGGAGTGAAATCGTATTTAGTGTAGTGTTTATATAACCCTTTTTAATAAATAAATATCACTAAGTAAATCAAATAATGCAAATACTGTTGTTAGAACTAGTATTAATAGTCATCACATTTGTTTTATCATTTTGTACATGTTTCCCCTTTGACTAGATTTAAAAAATCTCAAAAAATATTTTGCCTCACTAAGAACGAGCAAATGAGATATTGACCTTTAACTAGCCATACAAATTGCAAAAACATCCTTTAAATGATCAAGAACACTAGAAATCTTGTAGTGTTCCAACCTGCATATTTCCAAGGTATTAAATTAAACATTTGAAGCAAACTTATCCACCAGTTCCAGCTGTTGCCTGTGAGGATAAGGGAATTTTTTATTTTTTTTCTTCTAGCAAAACAGTAAGTCTCATAACCCTGCTATGTTATTGAAAAATGTTACACTCTAAATAAATCAGGATTCCCATTTTAATGGCACGCAAGAGACTAGCTCTTCTGCTGAGGGACAACGAATCACAAAAACTGTGATGAAAATATTTATGAAGCACTTTTTCAGCTGTTGTTTACTGCGTTGTAAAGTTCCTTCCTACCCAGTCCTCTCATCCTTATACATCCTTATACATCCTTATACAATTTGACTGTAGTTTACTTTTTTTTTTGATGCACGTTATTAAGACAAAACAAGACACCTCCTTTAGCTTAGACCCTTTGTTTAAAAATGAACATTTTTAAAAACTGCCAGGTTCCTGCCCAATCTGATAGGTAGTGCATTGAAGTATGAGTATGTTTAGCATTGAAGAGATGCTAAGCTTTGCAAATATATTAAAAGTGAATATATTAAAAGTGAATATTCATTCCGAAGCAGACGTTTAAGTATGATGCTCTGAAATAAACACTGTGAGGATCAAGAGATGGTCTAAGGACGGATTTTGACTCCACAGAGTATAAAAGAAACAGAAACAGAAAAGGCCCAGGTATAAAAGAAACCAGCACTGGATTATTTGTAAAAAATGCTGGAGAAAACCAGCCAAGGTTTTGGCTGAAGAAGTTCTGAGTATCACCCAGAGAAGAGAATGCAAGTATTTCTGTTACAGAATAAGAGTGAAAACTGAGTCCCTGAGCTGGCACCATGTGAACCAGGCACATCCCCGGCGTGCTGAAATAACACACTTACCTTGTCCACAATGCAGATCTGCTTCTTGCTTTGCACATCGAGAATTTCCACCTCAAAGTAAGTGATTTTTGAATGTTTGAGGGCTGGTGGTGGTTTGATAGGCCCAGCAGAGAGCACAAGCTGCGAGAAGTTAAAAAAAGTGCGAGTGTCATTGTGGGACATGGGTAGAGCTCCTCCATGAGCTGCAAGATCCCTCTGGTGTTGGGGAACACTGGGTTTCTGCCTCCTGTGCATGGTGGGACCCAGCAGAAGCTATCATCATATCAACAGGAGATAGAGGGAAGAAACACTTTGCCCCTGGAACTACAATCACAGACTGATGAAACACGAAAGGTCAAGTGGCGTTCCATTTTAAGAGCACTGTCGTATTTAGCAGGAGTGAAAACAATGGCTCTGTAATCCAGGGCTATATTTAACCTGCTTTTGTGATGTGCACTATTGCTGCTGCTTTTCTTTTCTTTTTTTTTTTTTGGCCTTCTTTTTATTTAAAACCAGCATTTGAAACAGCACATGTATTAGAACATTCCCTATTAGAAGAAGTCAGAGCTTGAAATTACAGAACCCCGAAAAAAACAGGAATGAATGCAGCAACTTCCACTCTTATCTACTGAGAGAAATGTTTAAAAGTGTCCACATACATGCTATGTATAAAGTGTGTATATATATATATGTTATATATGTGTGTGTATGTACCCTTAGTATGTATCTATAAAATTGTTTTTGGCCTTCTTTTTATTTAAAACCAGCATTTGAAACAGCACATGTATTAGAACATTCCCTATTAGAAGAAGTCAGAGCTTGAAATTACAGAACCCCGAAAGAACCAAGAGTTAATGCAGCAACTTCTGCTCTTACCTACTGAGACAAATGTTTAAAAGTGTCCACATATATGCATATCTATAGAGTGTATATATAGATATACATGTTATATATGTGTGTGTATGCACCCTTAGTATGTATCTATGAAATTATATTAGATGTTATCTATTCTACTAATAAAATACCTTGAGTTCATCAGTAAAATTTACAGATTGTTTGCATTTACTCCTATGGACTCTTGTTATTTAATGTGCTAGAGCTCTCCTTGCAGCCCCAGCAGGGAAATTTAACTGAAGTAAAGGAAATTATAACCCTAAAGGCACTGATTCAGGGCTTGAATCATTTTACTATTTTCTGATTCTTTCCTGACAATTAATTTTTCGCAACGCAGGTCTGCAGCAAAACGAAAGTAGTCTTAATGGTAAAAACAAGGATTACTTAAAACAACACATTTTCTCTAACGGGCTCCCCAAGCGTTGTTTAAACTTCATTTTTCCTTTTTATGACTTTTTAATAGGGTTTAATAGAACCAGCAGCACTTTTCCATCCTGAGATTCTCCCTAAATTTCCCAATCCCAAGGATTCCAGCGTTAGAAGGGAGTTCAGAGTAATTCCATCCTGAGATTCTCCCTAAATTTCCCAAGCTCCCTGCGTTAGGAGTTCAGAGTAAGTTCTGAACACATTTCTAGATGGTAAAATCTCAGGGAAACTACAATCACTGTTACAAAAATCATCTAGATTGGTTACACTAAGGAAATTTAATTAAGTGCAAGAAAAACCTTTCACAGGACAAAAGTGACCACACAACTGAAGCCTCTGGGAGGCAAGGTGGGAACAGGGAACAGAATGTGTCTCTTTTCTTTGATTCTGCTATAACTTACAGAAAATGTAGAGGTCACCACACCTTGTCTAGTGACGCATGACAAGAAACTCTATGAAGTAATGGAGAAACTAATTGATAAGTTGTTGCAAGAATTAAAAATAAGAATGAGGGGGACGCCCAAAGGAAGGCAATTTCCAAACTAAATCTCCTTTCCTGACAACGTCCACAACGTCTTTACTGTGAGGGTGGTGGAGCACTGGAACAGGTTGCCCAGGGAGGTGGTTGAGGCCCCTTCCCTGGAGATATTCAAGGTGAGGCTCGATGAGGCCCTGGGCAACCTGGTCTAGTTGGGGTGTCCCTGCTGACTGCGGGGAGGTCGGACTAGATGACCTTTGGAGGTCCCTTCCAGCCTGGACAATTCTATGATTCTATGATTCTATGATATGTTCATCTTCACCTGTATGAGTTATGTAGTTGATGCTGATGGAATAATCCATGCTACATCAGGCTCTCTAGGTGCTTAAGTTCTGGAGAATGGAGTCTGCATACATAACATGTGTCCTGCTAATAAACATGTGGAAAAGACATAGAAGAAGGAAACAGAGAATTGCAGTCATGAGACCCCACCTGGAGCACTGTGTCCAGCTCTGGAGTCCTCAGCACAGGAAGGACATGGACCTGTTGGAATGGAAAAGGGGAGATTTAGATTAGATACCAGGAAGAAATTCTTTGGTGTGAGGGTGGTGAGACACTGGAAGAGGTTGCCCAGAGAAGCTGTGGCTGCCCCATCCCTGGAGGGGTTCAAGGCCAGGCTGGATGGGGCTTGGAGCAACCTGGTCTGGTGGGAGGTGTCCCTGCCCAGGGCAGGGGGTTGGAACATGACGATCCTTAAGGTCCCTTCCAACTCTACCCATTCTATAATTCTATGATTCATTCTAATTAGCAGGTGATCGGGGAAGTACACCTCTGAGTTCAGGTGTGCAAGGAACTCCTTGGTGGAGTCAATACAGCAAGCAGAAATTTTGATATGAGCTAATCAGAACATGGAGAGTGACAAATTATTGGCTGAGTGTAAGGGGTTTGCTAAAAACAGCCAGGTAAAGACCAACGAGCACATAAGTCCCTAATTCCAAGTGTGAGGTACACTTATTTGAACACACTACTGTCAGGAAACTGTATAAACTGCTCTGCAAGAGATGAGACAAACTGATATAATATCCCCTTTAGCCATAAAATCTATGAATCAGTGAGCTGTAATTGCATATATTAATACACTTCTAAATTTATTTCAATTCCAAAGCAGTAAAGAATAATATTGATTATCCTGGCTAATTTCTGTGTAAATAAGGAACTTGTGCTGCAGTCATTACTGTGGGTATATTTATAATGTTATTTAAAATTATATCATCTGAGCTGCTGCTTCTGAAAAAAAGCTTTTGATTTACTGCAGACATTTAAATGATCAAAATTTTATTACTGACCAATGAATACTTGAATATCTGAACCAATTCCAGGAAAACGCTTACAAAACCGTATTTTTATTTTTTCAATCTTAGCTAATTATAAGCCGTTTCAGTACTTTGATAAACAGCAATCTTTACTGAGCCAAATACTTTGCTGACATAAACGAGCAGGCCTTCCCTGGGGGTGACTGGCCCTTTCCTCGCTGTATTAAATTCTGGATTTAGAATTAGACTGCAGCACCACGCCTACAGCAAACATATTACTTGCATATAAGGTGGGTGAGAGTTACTCTACCAAAAATAATCCATCAGGGATAGAGTTACCACTGAGAGGCTGAGCTCTAAAAGGGAGATGCATAAAAAGCAGCGGGGATTTTGCCATTGATGCCACAAGTGCTGCGCTCGCTTGAAACGTCATCAGTGGGTTTGGATGTTCTGGCTCAACGTGAAGTAATTCAGCACGTAGAAGGGGAACATCAACGACTGGACAAAAGGCACATCTTCCCCTTCAGTGCAGTCATATGTACCTCATCTTAGTCCCCAAGGCTGGAGATGGGGAGATTTATTGACCCCCATGACGTGGGTACAAGCTGCTGTACCCAGAGCCCTGGCAGGGCTAGTAGCCAGCAGTCGCCGAGTCCCTGACCTCAGCTTCATTCTGGGACTCTGAGAGGAGTCAAAGAGCACTCAGCAAGAATTAAATCAGCTCTGACAGCTTCAACTGGCACTCAATTTCCTGCCATATAAGGGGCTGGTGTTTTGGAGGGGCCACAAGGATGGGCATAACTCTTCTCAAACCGGGGCTCTCTCTCCTCACCTCACTTGGCACTTGGCTGACATGAGCTGTTTTGCAGACGGGTGGGAGACTTGGCACTTGGCTGACATGAGCTGTTTTGCAGACAGGCGGGCGTTTTGTTAAACCATCCTTCTGAAAGGCACTTTTTTCCAGGAGGGAGGGAATGCCTGCCCCGAAAGCACACAGCAGGGGCTGTGATTTTTTTTTTTGGTTAACCAAACTGCTGGTATTTTCACAATAAAAGCGACACCCGTAGTGGATTCGATGCACTTTTCTAATACAGTATCTTGAAAAAGGCATCAACCTGTGCAGGTCATGACAAAACAGGTAACAAAGCCCTGGGCAGGGACTACTAAGGCTCAGTGTCCAGTTTCTCCCCTTATAACACTGATTTCCTCCAAACTGCTGGTTTTCCTGCTTTTCCCTTCCCCGTTCCACACGCCTTCTCTGCGTGAGGCTCTCTCACACTGTGCCTTTTGCAGGCAGCCTGGGACAGAGGGATTTCACAGGATCTCAGCTGGGGCCTTAAGGGGCTTCTGAAGTTCCTTTTCATCTTTGGTCGTGTTTTCTACTCCTCCTTCCAGCCTGTAGAATGTCAACTGTTAAGTCAGCGGCGGAGGGTCACCTCTGTCAGTCCAAATGCTTGTCAGCAGCACCTCAGGCATCACTTTTTTATCACACGTGCTTCGAATGCTTGGTGGAAGCAGGGTTATTCTTTTCCCACCAGCTTTATGATGCCAAAGAACTGAACAATGCCCCCAGGACACAAGACTCAAGAGCCCAACGTTCAGTACGGCAAGTCATGCAGCCTAAGGCAAAGCGGATGCCCAAGGTCACACATGCTCACACCAGCATCCCATTTTTGGAGATTGTGCCACTCATTTCATAAAATCATAGAATGGTTAGAGTTGGAAGGGACCTTAGGGATCATCCAGTTCCAACCCCCCTGCCCTGGGCAGGGACACCTCCCACCAGACCAGGTTGCTCCAAGCCCCATCCAGCCTGGCCTTGAACCCCTCCAGGGATGGGGCAGCCACAGCTTCTCTGGGCAACCTCTTCCAGTGTCTCATCACCCTCACAGCAAAGAACTTCTTCCTAATATCTAATCTAAATCTCCCCTCTTTCAATTTAAAACTGTTCCCCCTCGTCCTGTCACTGCACTTCATAGAATCATAGAGTTGTCCAGGCCGGAAGGGACCTCCAAAGGTCATCTAGTCCGACCCCCCCGCAGTCAGCAGGGACACCCCCAACTAGACCAGGTTGCCCAGGGCCTCGTCGAGCCTCACCTTGAATATCTCCAGGGAAGGGGCCTCAACCACCTCCCTGGGCAACCTGTTCCAGTGCTCCACCACCCTCACAGGAAAGAACTTTCTCCTAATCTCCAATCTAAATCTGCTTTTCTTCAGCTTAAAGCCATTGCCCCTTGTCCTGTCACTACAGGCCTTTGTAAACAGGCTCTCCCCAGCTCTCCTGGAGCTCCCTTCAGATATTGGAAGGGGCTCTAAGGTCTCCCCGGAGCCTTCTCTTCTCCAGGCTGAACAACCCCAGCTCTCTCAGCCTGTCTTCATAAGGGAGGTGCTCCATCCCTCTGATCATCTTCCTGCCCTTCCTCTGGGCCCATTCCAACAGGTCCATGTCCTTCCTGTGCTGAGGACTCCAGAGCTGGACACAGAGCTCCAGGTGGGCTCTCATGAGCGCAGAGAATTTTGCTTGGGAAGGAGTTGCTGGGACCAAGGGGTGAGCTCCCCTTGCAAAAGGAGGTCCCAACTAAGAGGTTCCTGTGGTTGGCACCCTGCCCCATGGCCTCACCACCCTTATCTGGGAGCAGTGCTGCCCAGTGGTGGGTACTGCACCCCATCTGATCAGCACCGTGCCACATTTGCCCATTCCAATCTCAGATTTAATGTTTTCAGACCCAGGCAGGAGCGTGGCTATGCTTTCAGTCTCCTTTTACTGAACTGTCCAAGGAAGGATTTAAGAACCTGATAGGATGTACTCGGTTGGGAAAGCACTAACAATCAGTTGTTTGGCGGGCTAATGCTTTTAAATATTTGGTTTGATTCTGTTATCCGCATCGTATTACAACTAAAATGCATTTCTGAAGCATAGTAGAAATTTAAGCATGTGAGCCCAGCTGTTAGAAATGAAGAATGCAGATCTAAGATTGCAATGTATAGTATGGGAAATTTGATACCAAATACTGTTTAGAAAGGCTGCATGGTTAAAAAAAAACCACAACCAAACAAAGCAAATAATCAAACTGCATGAACACCTAGGATTTCTTTGCCTGTACATGCCTACCTCAGCAACCTCAGAATCAATTTAAAGCATTTTATCTACATGTGCATACACACAAAAAGCCACTTAGAAGCAGCTGCATGGTGTTACTCCTAAAACTACTTGATAGTTTAATTTTCTCTCCTGAAGCTAAATCTTTTAACAAATAAATAATGGACAGGACAGGCACAGAAGGAAAGTGCACTCACTCTGTAACACAAAACAATCCTAAAGCTATTTTAAATAATGCTGAAGTCAGAACTAGACCTCATCGGCGCTAAGGGACGGAACAAAAGTGATACACACCCATGTTCCTCCCCTTCAGCTGTACTGGCAGGGCTCCTCAGCAAAGGATGCCAGCCCTTCTGACCCTTGTGAGCTGTGCAATGAAAACATTACACGGCCAAAAGCCTCAGGCCACATCCTTCAGAGCCTGTGAGGAGGGACAGTCCAGGGAACAGCTTGCAAACAGGGCCCAGAGATCTCCAGTTACCACCTTCTCCCTGCAGGAGAAGTCTTTACCGCCGACTATCACAGCAATGGAGTTTTGCCAGCTGCTTAAAATCACACTCTAATAGCCTGGCTTTGTCCTTCTGGCTTTGAAAACTGAAAATGTTGACTTTAAACTTGGACGTGGGTGGTGCGAATTAGAAGGGACTTCACGGTGCAAATCAAACGCAAAGCTGGAGTTTATTTCATCCCCCACAGATACCCACAGGGGATGTCAGAGAACTAAGCAAAGCCAACAGACCAGCACAGTAATTCTCTCTGCAAGAAGTACCAAGTGAAACCTCCACCCTTGTCACAGACAAACACACACCTACTGCTCTACCAAAATAAGTACAGCGTGATCCAGAGCTCAAATCTGGTGACAGTCAGGATATATTGTAAGAAGCAGCTGCTGAACTGCAGCATAGAAGCCTGAGGAGATGCTCCTGGTGATGAAGAGGCCCAAAGAAATCATTGTAGGTGACCTGCTAGATCAACCTTTTAATGTTATTGACAGTAAATATTATATTTGCAGCTGTAAATCTATGATTCTATGTACATCTAAGAATTTTACGCTCTTGTTTAAATTAAATCACTGCAAATTGTGCTATTCCTGATGTTATTAACTCTCATTATTTGAGGCATGTGATGGTCTTTTCTCCTAAATACATGGCATTTGGAAGCATGTGACTGAGAAACGCTATGTGAAATGTCCTTTTCTTACTTTTATATTTTGTTATATGGAGGTATGGTTTAGTGATGATGCTCCTTGTTTGTTGTGTGGGTGTCTATTTTTGTCAGTGAGGTTGACGGTTGGACAAGATGATCTTTAAGGTCCCTTCCAACCTAGAAGATTCTGTGATTCTGTGATTCTGTTATTCCTTTTTAACTTAGGTAACTGTGTAGCCCTTAGAAACTTACAGGAATGTCTGAAAACTTGACCTCAAAAGGTCTACAAACAAAGACTTTTTTTTTTTTTCTTTTTTTTTCAAAACAAAGTCCATGATTTTTAAGACAGTCTTGGCATTTTGCAGACAGTCAGACAGGGAGATCAACACTGTTCAAGTCCTGACGTAGACAATATGCTTTGTACCCCACTGTTTCTTTGAGGAAAAGATTAGAAAGCAGTATTAGAAAGCAGACAAAGAAATGTCACCCAAGCTTGTCAAAGAACTACTTTTAAGGAAAATTCCACTTACCTTTGCCTGCAGAATTTTCCCTACAACATTACACTCACCCTTTAGCATCTCCTTAACCAGCCTTTGCCTTTCAATGGCAACGTGTTTTCCACATATTGGCTTAATAGAGACTGAGGTTTCCTTGCTGCATCATCAATCCTGCCTAATATAATAGCACCTCAGTTTACAAAGGTTAGAAACTTGCTTCCAAGGCTTCATTTGGCTTCATTTCAGGGTTTCACAGCAGGCTTTGTGCCACTGCTTACTGGAGGAAAGCTCACTGTGATGAGCTCCCTGTCAATCTCAGCACCCACCCAGCAACAACGCAAGCAACAAGGCAGCATCTTGGGGGATGAGAGCCCTCAAAGCAGGGACACACAAGAAGTTGCCACGTATTTCGTTGTGGCTTTCTCTTATAATGCCACTTCACAGTGTAAAGAGAGAGGACTGAGCAGATTAATGAAGGGCAGGTGCTGATACCCTGTACTTTGCAGTGATGTAAGCTTACTTCATGTCCTCGCTTAATTTCAACTGAGTGTATGTATTACTGACAGCATTTTTTTAATCCCCCTCCTAGAACATATCCTGACAAGCTAATGGATTGTAATTTCACAGGGTAAGAGCGAGTAACCACATTATTGGAAGCTGATCAGCCACTAAATAAGGATGATGAAAAGAAATACAGTAAGGCACAGCCATTTTTCACTAACGGCAGCAAGTACAGAACTGGTAAATGCTCTCACGTCTGAGATTAAATGCATCTTTCTTTTGTGCAAAACTGTTACGTGCAAGATGAAGTTGGAGCCACTTGAAATATTTTCAGGAAAAACACAAAGTTGTTCAAATATGCAGCTTTCATTGAGGCTGAAGCACTTCTGAAGATTTACTCATTTGGATGGAAAGATTTTGAGGTTCAGAACAATCTGGTCTCTCTAATAATTTCTGACCAGTAGGAGGGAAGAACAACCTTGACTAGGACACCTACAGATTCCTAAAGGAGTTATTTCTCCTTAAAAAGTATTCAAAAGGTTTTGTTTGCTAATGTAGAATGTACAAAAATGCTGAAACCTCAGTGTCACAAAACATAATCATGGTTTTTCAGGGAGTTCTACCCAGAGATATGTTTAAAAAGGAGACAAAAAGAAGCCTAACTCCTGTTTTACAATACTTCTTTTTTGTCTGAAGTTCTTGGGGTGATCGGTCTTTTATTACTTTTCAAATGTTATGTGTTATTTCTTCCTATACAAGTAGTCAAATTTTTCTCACTCTTTTTCATTTCAGGGCTTCCTTAATTAGGTTTCTGAAACATCTGTCAGCATAACCTCCTTCTTTCACAAACTTTCAAGCTTTCAGAAAAGTTGCCATTTAGTATGACATTTTTAATATTCAAGCTCAGCCCCAAAATTATTCTTGAGCTAAAAGAAAAATGATCCATCTTTTTTTTACATTCATTTGGTGACTAAAAAATATTCTTGTGACATTTTTCTCTCAAAGCAGAATAATTTTGAGAAGCAGCAGAATTCCTGAGAACTGGGAATTTGACAAGCGAACAAAAGAGGATTTTATTTATTTCATTAGAGCTGTTGTTCAGTGCCAGGTTTTTTCAAGCTTGAAATGTGTGGGAAAATGTTTCCATATAACAAAATTAAAAAAAAAAAACAAAGGCAACCATGCTTATCAGATTGAAATAGGTTTTTTTTTTTCTAGTTCTTTCTCCTTTTTAGATGATTCTGCTTATACAGCTAAATCTTCTGCCTCTTGATCCTGCGCTCAAGATTACCAACTCATCAAACCTGCTGTCCTCAGCTGTGGCCACCACATAACACTGAGATAAAACCTATCAAGAAATCCAGCCAGACTGGAGGATGCCCACAGAATCACAGTGAGTTGTAGCTCCATGGGGAGCCCAGTGGCACCTCCACATGTGCTATACTGAATCACAAGAGACAGCTCTCTTGCAAGCTAGTTGAGCAGCCTGGTCCTTTTGCAGGGATAAGACTCCAGAAACCAGGCACAGAAAGACCTGCCTCCTGACTGCCTCTCTCTTCTTGGAGAAAGTCTAGGAGATCGGGCTCTTCAGTCCCTGCATGGTTTCAAAGGACAAGATCCAGATAAGATGGGGCCCTGGTGAGGCCCCATCTGGAGCACTGGGACCAGTTCTGGGCTCCCCAGTTCCAGAAGGACAGGGAACTGCTGGAGAGGGGACAGCAGAGGGCTACAGAGATGATGAGGGGCCTGGAGCATCTCTCTGATGAGGAGAGGCTGAGGGACTTGGGTCTTTTTAGTCTGGAGAAGAGAAGGCTGAGGGGGGATCTGATCAATGCTTAGAAATATTTAAAGGGAGGGTGTCAAGAGGATGGGGCTGGTCTTTTTTCAGTGGTGCCCAGGGACAGGACAAGAGGAAATGGGCACAAACTGGAATATAAGAAGTTCCACCTAAACTTCTTTCCTTTGAGGGTGGCAGAGCCTGCCCAGGGAGGTGGTGGAGTCTCCTTCTCTGGAGACATTCAAACCCCACCTGGACACGTTCCTGTGCAACCTGCTCTGGGTGGCCCTGCTCTGGCAGGGGGTTGGACTAGGTGATCTCCAGAGGTCCCTTCCAACCCCATGTCATTCTGTGATAAGGTACAGGATAAGATCCCCATGCTGAGACATCTGCCACCCCTACACAGGTACAGGGTGCCCTGATTTTTTGAGCTAGGCCTCTTCTGACTAACTAAGCTCTGATATTAACAGCAGCTCAACACTGGACCCTGAATACCTCTCCAGGACCCACCTGCCTCAGAGCAGAGTGCTGGAGCACTTGGGTGCCTTTAGCAATCTGGCCTGTGCTCTTATGCTCCATGCCACAAGTTTGTACCCTGAGGAGACAGCAGAACTGACCCGAGGGGAAGTGAGGTGCCCACAGACATAAAGTTGATGAATCTCAGTACAGCATCGGGGCATCCTGCCACACACAAGAGGATGGAGCCCATGTGAGGCCCAGCCCTCCTGTCACTTCCATTGTTAACCACCAGAAAGAAGTACTCGGCACACACAAGTGTGTATTTCATCTATGTAATGGTATTAGCCAGCGTGTGACAACTCAGCGGTGAGTAGTTTGGCTCTGAGGACAAGCAAAGCCAAAGCAGATGGATGGTTGCCACAGAAGACTCTTCAAAGCTTGACAGGAGCCAATATGTAAGCTCAGGCTGCCAAACTGGGCTGCTTGAACTGGGAACTACTGGAAAGAGTCCAGCGAAGGGCAACAAAGATGATTCAAGGATTGGAGCATCTCCCTTATGAAGAAAGACTGAGAGAGCTGGGACTTCTTAGTCTGGAGAAGAGAAGGCTGAGGGGAGACCTCATTAATGCTGACAAGGATCTCAAGGGTGGGTTGAAGGAGGAGGGAGCCAGACTCTTCAGTGGTTCCCAGTGACAGGACGAGGGGCAACGGGCACAAGTTGGAACATAAGAGGTTCCACCCAAATATGAGAAAAAACTTCTTCACGGTGACGGTGGCAGAGCCCTGGCAGAGGCTGCCCAGGGAGGGTGTGGAGTCCCCTTCTCTGGAGATTTTCAAGACCCACCTGGATGCCGTCCTGAGTAACATGCTCTGACAAGCTCTAGGCAATCCTGCTTCATCTCTATGGTCCCTTCCAACTCTAAAATTCAGTGAAATTCAGTGAAAAGACAGCACTTTGTTGCTTGATGCAATAAGACGACCGCGTGGCACTCAACACTTCTGGAGCCTCCTGAGTTCCAGTTTAACAGCTCCTAGTCAGGAACGGCTGTGACAACAACGTCAGGACAACCACCGTGTGGTTACATCCAGCTGTCAGAATTATCTTTGCTTAAAAAAAAAAAAAGCTGATGCTGTTTGTAGGCTGACAACTGTCTCTGTAACGCGTTCCTGCGATTTCCATAGCCATCCTGGAGCCAAGGTCATACAGATAGAGGTTGACAAGGAGAGCCGTGGCATTTCACAGCCTGGGAAGCAGCACTGCAGGATTACAGAATCACAGAATCACAGAATCTTCTAGGTTGGAAGGGACCTTAAAGATCATCTTGTCCAACAGGTAAGAGGAGACAGCAGCGTGCTTCACCAGGACTTCCCGTAGCAGAGAGCAACTCAGATCCACACACAGCTTTAAAAACGCTGTAAAATAAAGCCCCTGGGTAGGAACAATGTCCTCCCTCTATACCTAACTGTAGGAAGTACTTTAAAAGGCTGAAGGTGCTGCTCATTTATAAGGGTGAAATGAAAGAAGATTCGACATCACATCTACAACCTTCCAGGGCTAGAAATTTCCCAGTGGGAAGGAAAAATCCAGAGTTGCCTACAGCGACTTGATGCAATTATCACTAGTTCCACAAGCTGATGAGATATATAAATTCATCCTTTTTTTACAAATAGGGAAACTCCCCAGGAACCCTGCTTTACCCCTGAGATCTTACAGAAGGAGACCGGAGTATCAGTCTGCATCTGAAAGGACCACACTCATCAGCCAGGTTGCCAGACCTCCTATACAACCTTAATGAATAATTGGTCCTGTGTCCTGTCTGAAGAGCGATGAGGTACAGCTTTGCTTTTTTTTATTTTCTGACCAACAGCTATTTTTCCATATGCCCAGCACCTCAAGCTGTCAGCCATTTGGCAAACCATGTCGTGCTGCAGATGTCCTCAGAAATAATAATCCATGTCTGCTGCTGGCTGGGAGGTGTGAATTGACCAGGGTTGCTCACCGTGCATGAGTGACAGCCGTGCTGTACCTTCACAGCCTCTGTCTCTTTTTCTCTCACTGCCATAAAAGACCACCTTGCTCCAGCTTGCCTTCTGCTGTGGCTTTCCACCAGGAGCAAACCACGTACAACAAGCACCACAGATGCCATCTCCAAGTCCATCCAGCTTAGCAGTCTTTGTGCCAGACCTCTTGGCATTGTGTCAGCCCCAAGAAGAACTGGCCGTGCCCACAAGTGTCTTCACACATAAAGAACCTGCTTTCCCTGCTATTAATACAGCAGTAGTTTCATTCTGTTCTCAAAAAAGCTGGTTTTACCTGCAAAAGCGCAACAGACATGGAAAATAACTAGCAAAGAAACTTTAATTGTCTTAAAAGTCTGTTGCAGTTTTTCTTTGTGGGTTTAGCTATCAGAGCGCCCAGCTGCAATGCGAACTGTTGGTGTATAAAGTTTTAGTAATAAAAAAAAAATGGACATATTGCAGAGCCTCGGGTTTCTAATGAATATTTGAATTCACAGCTTTTCCCTGAATTCACAGCATATTTCACTGAATTTTTTGAGTTGGAAGGGACCATAGAGATCAGCTAGTCCAACTCCCCTGCTGAAGCAGGATTGCCCAGAGCTTGTCAGAGCATGTTACTCAGGAGCATCCAGGTGGGTCTTGAAGATCTCCAGAGAAGGGGACTCCACACCCTCCCTGGGCAGCCTCTGCCAGGGCTCTGCCACCCTCACCATAAAGTGATTTTTTCTCATATTTGAGTGGAACCTCTTATGTTCCAACTTGTGCCCGTTGCCCCTCGTCCTGTCACTGGGAACCACTGAAAAGAGTCCGGCTCCCTCCTCCTTCAACCCTCCCTTGAGATACTTGTCAGCATTGATAAGGTCTCCCCTCAGCCTTCTCTTCTCCAGACTAAAGAGTCCCAGCTCTCTCAGCCTTTCTTCATCAGGGAGATGCTCCAATCCTTGAATCATCTTGCATCATACAGAGCAAAGCAGACTGACCACTGGTGGTGGTGTGGACCACTGGTGTAAGCTACACACAGGACTACACACATGGAGGGAAGCACAAACTCCACCTTGGAATACTTCTTTCAGAGCACATCCTTAGCGGACTAACTCCCATTTAAACTTAAATACATGGTTCTTCAGCCAGAAAAAGCCCACAGCTTTAATGAATAGGGCCAAAGAATAAGTTTCTCTCAAAGTTTCTCCGAGAAAACATTCCTGTTTTCAGCTAGCTGTAGCACACAAGGGTAAAAACGAATGTCTCAGAACAGAAACATAGGAACCTTCTATGTTGCTTCTTCACAGAAGGCAAGGATGAAATAATTCCTGCTTGTTCTGCTTGTATGAATGTTGTTATTATATGCTAACTACTGCAGCACCATCTTTTTTAAAAATGCTCCTAAACAAAACGCAACCCAAAAAGGCAAAATCTTCAGCAGTAGCTTGTGCTTCGTTTTCAATAGCTCTGTCAGCTTTGTCTCAAAGAAGCTGAAGTACAGCTTACATCTCTCCCTCCTGAAATCCAACAACTGAGGGAAACAATACAGGACAGCACAAAAGTGCCAGTGAAGCATCTGTAACTACTTAAAACCAACAGAACAAGCAGAAAGTCATTGGTAAGGCTACTGAAACCCACAAATTAAACTATGTATTTCTCCCCTGAGGAAAACGGGAGATTAAGCATGGCAAACTATTCCAGAGGAAAAGACCATCTGGGCAGAATTTTGAAAAATCACAGCAAGTGCATTAACACGGACTGGGCGTTTGGCCAGAGGGAGCTGACAGAAAACTGCAGGGCTCGGGGAGGGGGGTTCAGTGGACAGTGACCTGGAGGCTGAGCTCAGAAACAACACAAACTGCAGTGAAACTCTTTGCAGGAGCCAGAGGAAACTGGGTTTTGGCTGAATAACAGCAGCATGTTTGCGTCCTTGATTAAAAGTATCCGAACAAAGCACTTAAAAAATGAAATATTTTGACATTTAAGAAAGATAGTAACATTTTATGGGATAAAAGGTTTATAGATATTTCAGTTTAATCATTGTCTCGTTCAGTCATTTTAGCCTAGAAATGAATAAGATACTGCTATTCACATTATCCAGCACAGGACACTGCTTTTTATACTTTTCCTACATACATAGTCAGTGGACAGAAGGTAAATTAAGGCACCTAAATCAGGCCTGGGGAAAATAAAAAACACTCCCTTTTCCATAGAGTTGTGTGCCGAAGATTGGGCTCTCTGCCACAGCTTCTCTGGGCAACCTGTTCCAGTGTCTCACCACCCTCACAGCAAAGAATTTCTTCCTCAAACCTCATCTTAAATCTCCCCTCTTCCAATTTAAAACCGTCACCCCTTGTCCTGTCACTGCACTCCCTGACAAAGAGTCCCTCCCCAGCTCTCCTGGAGCTCCCTTCAGATATTGGGAGGCTGCTCTAAGGTCTCCCCGGAGCCTTCTCTTCTCCAGGCTGAAATGTTATTAAAACATTTGCATAAATCTGTTAGCCCCAGCACAGTTATTGCCAGTCCTTTATGGGGATTAAGATCTGGCCTTTCACCCAGTGCGATTACCAACAGGTATACACATGAAATAAAAGCCTAGTTTCAGAGCTGATTTTTGAAGACGGACGTTTATCATTTTGTTTGCAGAGTAAATGGCTTGATTAGGTTTAATTCACATTTATTACAGTCCGTGAAACTTGCTGTATTGAGAGACAAATACAATTATCTTTACTATGGGAGCAAATGTGTAATGAAATCCTAGCTTTCCCTACTTTAAAATAACATACTTCAACAGTAAGTATAGATTTTGGCAAAGCAGCGTTCCCCTGCCACACAGCACATGTTTAATGAAGTTACTCCTCAGCTGTTCGTTGCTGAGCCAAACTGAGCCAAAATGAGCCAAGCTCAGTGAGTTTCTAAGCAGCCCGAGCCCATCAAAGTGGATGCCTCCACCGAAGGAAAACACTTTACAGTTTCAATCTCAAAAGTATGTCATCTTATCAAAAAAGACAATCACCCCGTCTTCTCGCGAAGCAATTAGAGCAGAAAGCAATTACAGAAAGGAATTAAGAGGGATTCGCGGTCAGATCTCCCATCAGGATCACTCAGACCAGATGGATTCATACAACCTCAGATCTCTCCCTTTGTCACATCCTGGCCAGCAACAGCTTTGGCATGGGGACACTGAAAGAATGCCAATGGCACTTGCATGCTTTGCAATTAATAAGCAAGGTTTTAATTTACCTATTAGAAAAAATTACATAACAGGAAGCTAACGAAAAGCCATTTTATTAAGAAAACAAAGCATTTGCTCTGGCCTGAATAACTGACCCCAATACTACGCAGCTCATCCGAACTCAGAAGGGAAGATTTTTGGTTTCAGAAAAAAAAAAAAAAATCAAGACTTTTTGCATGGAAAACCATGTCACTGGAACAGTATGCACTGTAAAATGGATCTTTAATAGTCAATAAAGACAGAAAAAGGCAATGCTTGCTACCTCGTAGCTAGCAGGTTTTCAAATTATGGAATTCATCTGTCACACTCCACTTAGCATATCTGTATCATTTCAGCAAGTAATGCCACCATCAGATAGTTATTTTAATAGTGAACAGGTAAATGAATAGTGTCAAGGGTAACAGAATGGAGAGGAAAAAGAAAAAAAGACAATTAGGACTTTTTTTTTTTCTTTTTCTTGGATACTATGAATAGTGTCAAGGGTAACAGAATGGAGAAGAAAAAGAAAAAAGACAATTAGGACTTTTTTTTTTCTCTTTCTTGGATACCGAAGAGCAAAGATTCCTCTTTAACTTGCTTTAAGTCAGGAGGAATGTAAAAAAGAAAAGGGAATATGTATTTAACAAGGCAATTTGCTTAACACAAGAGAAATCTGCAAGCTTATTTCAGGGGCAGATCTCTGTGTCCATTTACCCTTGAGAAGTGCAAGCACCACTGAAGAACTTCACTGCGTGGATAAACGCTTTACATAAAGAAAACATCTTGGTTTGTCTCTTTGTCTGGTGGTTGGCTTGGGTGGGTGGTGAAGCAGGATAGGAGATGGCCATCCTGCTTTGCATTATGAGGAGCCTCCTCACCTTCCCCACGCTCCAAGCAGGAATCAAAATGCACAGAATCACAGAATCACAGAATCTTCTAGGTTGGAAGGGACCTTAAAGATCATCTTGTCCAACCGTCAACCTAACTGACAAAAATACACACCCACACAACAAACAAGGAGCATCATCACTAAACCAGACCTCCCAGCACTACATCAACCCGTCTTTTGAACACCTCCAGGGATGGGGCCTCAACCACCTCCCTGGGCAGCCCATTCCAATGCCTGAGAACCCTTTCAGTGAAAAAATTTTTCCTAATATCCAGCCTGAACCTCCCCTGGCGCAACTTGTCTTTTTTTTGGGAAGGGGCCCAAAACTGGACACAGCACTCGAGGTGAGGCCTCACCAGATCACCTCTTGGGTCCTACTCCCCACACTGTTCCTGACACAGGCCAGGATGCTGGTGGCCTTCTTGGCCACCTGGGCACACTGCTGGCTCCTGTTCAGCCCACAGGCCACCAACACCCCCAGGTCCTTTTCTGCCAGGCAGCTCCAGCCACTCTGCCCCCAGCCTGGAGTGCTGCCTGGTTTTGCTCTCAAAAGCCGTTTCCCTCAGTTCCTTCAGCTCCAACACTAGCTTGGGCCAGAGAGGCAGCACAAAACACTCCTGCAGCCTGAAAGCTTGGAGCTCCAACACTTCATCTTTCGTTTTTAACCTGCCTCAGTTGCTGCCATGGGTCACCATGCCGTGCTTGGAGACTGGGGGAGCAAGGGGGACAA